CTAGTAATATATTTACTGAGAAAAATGGTGACGTGTTCAATACTTATTTTACCCGCTTTATCTAGTCTGAACCTCTCAACCTCACACACCAGCTCAGGCTCCTTCCCCACCAGAGAGGTGACATTCCACATCCCTAGAGCCAGCTTCTGTAGCTGAGGATCAGACCGCAAAGGTCCCCACCTTCGGCCCCCTACGGCCCCTCCCACAGGTGGTGAACCCATGGGAAGGGGGACCACGTCTCCTCTTCGGGCTGTGCCCAACCGGGCTCCATGGGTGAAAGCCCAGCCACCAGGCACTTGCCAACATGCCCCACCTCCAGGCCTGGCTCCAGAATGGGACCCTGGTGACCCGCGTCCAGGTGAGGTAACACTAAGTCCATCTGTAGTACTCATCATTAAGGGTCTTTGGGCTGCACTTTGTCTGATCCCTCACCTAGGACCTGTTTGCCTTGGGTGACCCTATTGGGGTCACGAAGACCCCGACAACATAGCTCCTAGGATCACTGGAACACTCAAACCTCTCCACCAAGAAAAGGTGGCAGTCCAGGGAGAGTAGTCATCCTGGAACTGGCAGGTGAAATTTACCTGGAGTTAACCTGATGTTAACCTGGAGTTAACCTGAACTTGGCCTGGATTTGACCTGGACTTAACCTGGAGTTGACCTGGAGGTAACTTCAGCTGACGGTGGTTTGTTAATCAGTTAGTGGCATTTGTACATTTTATCAGCTGAGCTGTGATGAAAAGAAAAAATAATGTCAAATACTGTGACACTGGTGTAATTGTTGAAAATTCTGTAATATAAAATTTGGGTCATACCGCCCACCACGGTCTTGCACAAGGACACAACAACTGAGAAACCTGGAACAGAAAATCGAATCGGCAACATACCAGTTCCAAGATGACTCCTCCAACCACTCTGCCACAGCCACCAAAATGAATAGACAAAGTTAATCTAAAGTCAATCTGGAGATGACCTGGAGTTAATCTTATCTTAACCTGGAGTTGATCTGGAGTTAACATCAACTTAACCTGGAGTTAAATTGGAGTTGACCTGGAGGTAACCTGAAATTTACCTGGAGTTAACCTGCTGTTGACCTGGAGTTGACCTGGAGTTAACATGAACTTAACATGGAGTTAACCTGGAGTTAATCTGATGTTAACCTGGAGTTGATCTGGAGTTGGAGTTGACCTGGGGGTAACCTGAAATTTACCTGGAGTTATCCTGCTGTTAACATGGAGTTGACCTGGAGTTAACCTGCTGTTAACCTGGAGTTGACCTGGAGTTAACCTGCTGTTAACCTGGAGTTGAACTGGAGTTAAAATCAACTTAACCTGGAGTTAACCTGGAGTTAATTTGATGTTAACCTGGAGTTGACCTGGAGTTAACATCAACTTAACCTGGAGTTAACCTGGAGTTGACCTGGAGGTAACCTGAAGTTTACCTTGATTTGATTTGATTTATTGATTTAACAAGAAAAGATTACTAGAAATCAAGCCTGACTCAGCATAATTGCTGTTTTACAGCGGGTTCCTGTTCTAGAGCACATAAAACACTCAGAAATACAACATCACAATCACATTATTACCTGGAGTTAAGCTGCTGTTAACCTGGAGTTGACCTGGAATTAACATCAACTTAACCTGGAGTTAACTTGGAGTTGACCTGGAGTTGACCTGGAGTTAACCTGAAGTCTACCTGGGGTTAACCTGATGTTAACCTGGAGTTGACCTAGAGTTAACCTGAACTTAATGTGGACTTATTGTGGAGTTAACCTGGAGTTGACCTGATGCTAACTTTGATCTCAACTGAAGTTGACCTGAAGTTGACCTGAAGTTAACCTAAAGTTAACCTGACATTAACCTGGAGTTGACCTGAAATTTACCTGGAGTTAACATGATGTTAACTTTTAGTTGACTTGGAGTTGACCTGATACTAACATTGATCTTACCTGGCATTAACCTGAGTTAAACCTGGAGTTAACCTGAAGTTAACCTGGAGTTGACCTGATCTTTACTGGTAATTTCTTTGTCAGACCTCAGACAGACATCTTCTCACCTGGACAGGAGGTCTCCTGATGCCGTTGCCTGTGGTTTGTTGGAGCAGGTCACCATATTTTGGATCAGAGCCAGGTCTGGCCTCACCACGCTTGCTGCTGCCACAGCTCTGGTGAAGAGCTGCAGGGCGTCTTTGATGTAGAATTCAAGTGGTTTGCGATCCACTTCTCCGTAGGCCAGGAGTCCAAGAGGCAGGCCGATGGTGTGCAGGACATCAGGACTGAGGGGCTGACCCAGCACCCAGTGCACCATAGGCAGGGTCAGGCCCAGATCCTGAGCACTGCGTAGAACTGCTGCTGCACACTGTGGGTCCGCACCAAACAGAAGCACCGATGCAGGCAAAGACTGGTCCCGTTTGAAGTGTCGGGACAGGAAATCTTGGATCTGCGTGTCATCGTGGGCTGACTGTGTCAAGTTCAGGAGGGCCTGCAGGTGCCAGGAGGCCCTGCCTACATCACCCCGTGAAGCGAAGCTTTGAGTGTCCAAGAGCCGCAAAAGACCATGAGCCTCCTCCCAACCACTACACAGAATCACAGTTCCCTCCCTCCAACCGGACCGCTGCAGAACCGTCAGCAACAGATTGGATAAAACAGACTCTGGAAGCCCCGTCATCATCTGCAGGTGGAACTGGTTCTACAAAAAACAAGAGAACAGTGTTAGGACACAACAAGGTTCACAACTCTTCAGTTAATTATCAGACAGTTGAACTATAATCCGTCCGTCCATCCATCTAGTTTCTTCCGCTTATCTGCGGTCAGGTCTCAGGGGCAGCAGTCTAAGCAGAGAGACCCAGACTTCCCTCTCTCCAGCCACTTGGACCAGCACCYCTGGGGGAATCCCAAGGTGTTCCCAGACCAGCTGAGAAACATAGTCCCTCCTGGATGACTGAGCTTCTCAGCCTATCTCTAAGGGAGAGCCCAGACACCCTGCAGAGGAAACTCATTTCAGCTGCTTGTATCTGTCATCTCCTTCTATCAGTCACTACCCAAAGCTCCTGATCATAGATGAGGGTAGGAACGTAGACCGTCTGGTAAACTGAGAGCTTCTCCTTCTGGCTCAGCTCTCTCTTCACCATGACAGACCGGTACAACGCCCACATCACTGCAGACACAGCACCAATCCACCTGTAGATCTCCTGCTCCATTCTTCCCTCATTCATGAACAAGACCCTGAGATACTTAAACGCCTCCACTTGGGGCAGGACCTCCTCCCTGACCCGGAGACGGCATGCTACCCTTTTCTGGGTCAAGACCATGGTCTGGGATTTGGTGGCATTGATCCTCATCCCGGCTGCTTCACACTCAGCTGTGAACCTCTCCAGTGAGAGCTGGAGATCAGGATCTGATGAAGCCAATAGGACCACATCATCCACAAAAAGCAGAGATGTGATCCTAAGGTCACCAAAAAGGATCTCCTCAACACCTTGTCTGCTTCTAGAAATTCTGTCCATAAAAGTTATGATCAGAATCGGTGACAAAGGACAACCTTGGTGGAGTCCAACTCTCACTGGAAACAAGTCTGACTTACTACCAGCAATGTGGACCAAGCTCTGACACCGGTCCTACAGGGACCTAACAGCCCGTATCAATGGGCCTGGTACCCCATACTCCCAGAGTACCCCCCACAGGAGTCCCTGCGGGACACGGTCGAACATCTTCTCCAAGTCCACAAAACACATGTAGACTGGGACCGGCAGGGCAAGATGGCGGAGGAGTAAGAATTGTGTCGCGTGGGCTCCCGCTCCGACTTGTTCTGTTTATGGTTCTCTACTAAATTTCCTTTCTGTTTTGAACATTTGGTCCATCCGGACTCGACCCCTGAGCGATTCTTGCCTGGAAGAGTAGAAAAATGGCGACAAACTCGAGGAAAAGCAAACATTCTAGCTCGACGGCTGTTAGGCCAGACGCCGCCCCGGAGCAGAMTGCAGCTAAAGCCGGAGCTTCGGCGCCCTCCTCTCCCTCCTGCAGCGAGGTGGACGCACTCTCCTTGAAGTCTGACATTCTTGCCGCTATAAAAACCGATCTCTCAGCTGTGATCAAATCTGAAATAAAAGCGGCTTTGGCTGAAGAGTTTATTCTTATTAAAGGGGAGCTTCAAGCGGTGAGAGCGGAGGTAGCTAACGGCACGATGCTACTGCGCAAAGATCTGGACCATGTGAAACAGAGCGTTAAAGAGGTGGAGGACAGCTTGTCGAGCTGGTCCGATGAGGTTGTTTCTCTGTGCACCACCGTGTTGGAACTGAAAGAAGAAATCTATGGGCTCAAAAAGAAGTGTGACGATATGGAAGGGTGCATGAGAAGGTGCAATGTGAGGATTATTGGAGTTCCTGAAACACCAGAATCCAGCTCCACTTCAGCAGTGGCTAAACTGCTAGCAGAGGTTCTACAGATGGATAAAGAGCCACTGGTGGACCGAGCCCATCGCTCTCCAGGTGGAAACAGGTCAGGCGATAAGCCGCGGGTTATTGTCTCTAAGCTGCACTATTATCAAGAATGTGTGGAAATATTACGTCGAGCCCGGACCCGCGGCCATCTTCGTTTTAAAGAGGCACCGATTATCATCACATCTGACTACACGGCGGCTGTGGCCAAGACTCGAGCGGCGTTTACGGAGGTGAGGAGGCTTCTTCGCAACCGACGTGATGTTCGCTACGGCTTGCTTTTTCCTGAACGGCTCTGCATCTCTCATGGGGAGGARAACAAGGARTTCCTGGATGCCAATAAAGCAATGGACTACGTTAAAAAGAGGATCATCTCAGCGACGGACAACGAGGACCGGCGTTGACCGCAGGTCCAGCCCTCATCGATCCATTATGACTGTCAGGTTGTAATGAACCTTTCAATTTTATGTCCCGCGTTATACCTTGATTTAATTTTAGACATTATTCTCAGGGACAACATTCCTCTTTCTGTTCTGTGTACTAGAGTTTCACAGGGGGTCTGTCCAGATCTTAGTTAGTGATTTATTTATCAGTGCTGCAAGGAGCATAAACAGTAATAATATTTTAAAGTAAGGGAACCCTTTTTTTATTTTATTTATTTTTGGTTATTGTTATTTAGTTATGGCGGGAGTCCAGACAGGGAAGCACAAATGTGTGGATTTTTTGTTTGTTGGGTTCTCCGTTTTTATTTTATTTTTTTAGGAGAAAGGGGTGGGACTATACCAGACCTATTTGTTTTGAGAATGTCTTTTTCAGGTYATTTTTTGTGAYRGTTTGTGGATATTGTACTACAGTCCRAYTGACCATWCATGAGCAGTTCTAAYATTAMCAGWTTCRTCAACAGTCACCCAGTTAACTGTGTGAGTTGGAATGTRWARTCCCTCAATGGTCCAGTGAAATTTAGGAAAGTTATGACACATTTAAGACATCTTGATTCTAATATTANATGTTTATATGTTTATGCCTGTTCATATATCTAAAATAAATTACTTTATTTTAAGAAATCTGACCAGTCACAAGTTTTCATTTTTCACTTCATCATCAGAGGGATATTTCATTATTTCCTGGTTTCATTTTGCAAGATCTTGGGGTTATTTTATGAAAATTAGGCTGGTCCTAATTTCATGGAGTAATTCCTACATTAGTAGGGAGTTTTTCCTCTCCACCGTTTGCTCAGGATGGGAGACTGTGATGAAGTGATTCAATACAATCTGCTGCTTTCTTCTTTTTTTTCCTGGAAGGTCACCAGTTTACTGCATACGTTGACCGCAAACCCTTGGTACTTGCAATGTCCAAGATTTCTGGCCCCTGGTCTGCACACCAGCAATGCCACCTTTGCCACTGTTTCTGAATTTACAACAGACATTCAGCATGAGGCCAGCAAATCCAACTGGATGACCGACTGTCTTTCACGTGCACTGATCTCCTCCGTGTACTTTGGAATTGATTTTTCCACTATGGCTGCAGACCAACATTGTGATGCAGACATCCTCATGCTCCAGTCTGGGCCCACAGGCCTCAAGCTGGAGGAAAGGCAGGTGCATGACGAAGGTCCTTTCTCTGTGTGATGTTTCTACTGGCACCCCGCTCTCTGCTTCTTGATAACTCGCTGTGTTTTCAACTCTTTAGATTCTGTTTCTCATGCAGGCGTTAGAGCCTCTGTGAAACAGTTCAAAGTTTGTTTGGCCCAGTCTACGTAAGACTGGGTGTATGTTCTACGCCAGCGTGCTAAAGTCAACAGGCGCACCAAAGCTCCTTTTGAACCTTTCTCCATTCCTAGTCAACGGTTTGATCATGTACACATTGACCTGTTGGGTCCTCTACCTCCCTCACAGGGTTTTACATATCTGCTCACCACAGTCGACTGTACCACCTGGATGCCAGAGGTAGTTCGTCTGGCATCTACAGCATCTGCAGTTGTGGCCCAGGCATTTATGTCTACCTGGGTGGTGCGTTTTGGACCCCTTCAGACATTATGTTTACAGGGGTCTCAGTTTTTCAGAGCTTTGGTCTTCCATGGTCCAGAGACCAAGACGCACCGCACTACCACATGCAAAGTGCATTGTTTGTATTTAAAGACCTCAGAAAAGGGGTGAAAGAGGGGCTGATGGAGTTACAATATCGAAGAGTTTAGACCAATGCACTGCAGTTCCTCTTCATATAGACCCCAATCATCATATGTGTTCTTTAAATAAAAATACATTTTTCTGTTTTAAATGGCTTTTTATCTTTAAATGCCTGTATTATGAAAGGGAAATATTTGAGAATTTTTTTTTTACAAAGTTACAAATTTAAATAGCCTGAAGTTGCTGTGTGTCTAAACTGTTTGTGAAAACCCAAATGATGTCATGTTTGTCTTCATGGAAAAATTAGAAGAAAGCAGCCATCAGAAAGAAAATGGCTGATCTCAGTTTAAAGACAATACTACCAAATATTAACAACATGTATGCATATATTTAACAAATTTTCTAAATTTTTGTCTTTATTATTTTTGCTTTTAGCAAACAGAAGGACTTTTGGCAACACTGACCTCAAATAGGAAAAGTTTAGTTTGATTTATTGTCAGTGAGCAGGACAAATGTTTTCCTGTCTGTTTACAGTGTAAACATCTGTTTTAATATGTCTACATGTTGTTAGAAACTGATTTTACAAGCCAGAAAAGTTATAAGTTTGTTTTAGAGCAGCACTTCTAAACCTTTTTTTTTTCATCAAATGAATCATACAATATTGGTATTGTGAGGAAAAACGTTTTTTTTTTTTTTGATTGATAAAATAGGAAATAGGAAAAACGTTTTTTAAGGAATCTGTTAATTTACTTGTTTTGCTCAGGTTAACATGTGGGTTTATATTACATGAAATACAACTATGACTGAAGAATGTGGTCATTTTTAATATAAAATGCCAGAGCTATATATATAAAGTGTTGTTTATTTAGTTTTCTTTGAGAAAAGTTTTTATTATTTCTGAGCTGTCTGATAATGAATCAATAACTGGTCCTTGGTGTTGTGGTTAGAGACTCCTGACATTTTCTCTCTCTCTCTCTCTCTCTCTCTCTCTCTCTCTCTCTCTCTCTCTCTCTCTCTCTCTCTCTCTCTCTCCTTCAATATTCAGTGGTTTCATACACATCACGTCTGTTTTCAGTGTGCCAGCATGTGATCAAAGGTTTCTAAAACACATGAGACTGTGATGCTGGTA